CCTAAACCCTAAACCCTAAACACTAAACCCTAAACCCTAAACCCTATTTCTAAACCCTAATCCTAAGGTTCTTCGACAGGCTTCTATGACAAGGGCACCCTAGTGCCGCTGGTCTGCGCAGCTTTGGGGCTTTAGGGCTCAGAGTTCCAGCTTCAGAGATTCAGCTAATGTAGGGTTTAGGGTTTAGGGTTTAGGGTTTAGGGTTTAGGGTTTAGGGTTTAGGGTTTAGGGTTTAGGGGGGAACCTGACTAAGAAACCTTGGGTCTTTATTGGGGTTCTCTCTATGGGTAGTTGTCAAGAATTATGGCCCCTTTTGGAGTACCCTGAAAAATAGGTGCCGTATTATAATAAGGACCCAAAAAGGGACCATGATTTTGACAACCACCCATTTGAACCCTAATCTGTCGGGGTTATAGGGCCAGGGTTTCTTAATCAGGTTCCTACATTAAGCTTACGGGTGATTGTGGTGGAAGACTATATACCTTACCTCGGATTAGGCACAGACTGCACTGGCCAGACCCTAAACCCTGAACCCTAAGCCTTGAACCCAAAACCCAAGACCTTAAAAGCTAAACCCTAAACCAAATACCCTAAACCCTAAGCCCTAAGCCCTAAACCCTAAACTCAAAACCCTAAACCCTAAACCCTAAGCTCAAAACCCCAAACCCTAAGCCCTAAACCCTAAACCCTAGCAGGCAGGCAACCCTGGAACCGGGAACCTAAACCGCTACACCCAAGAGCCCGCAACCCACATCCTCTTTGCTAGGTTCGACAATCTTAGAGCCTACATGGGCCGGGACACTGAACCCCAAATTATGAACCACAAAATAATATAACTTAGACATACATATGTATGTATGTATGTATGTATGTATGTATGTATGTATGTATGTATGTATGTATACTTATCTATCTGTCTGTCTGTCTTTCTGTCTCTGTCTATCTGTCTGTCTATCTGTCTATCTATCTATCTATCTATCTATCCATCCATCGATCCATCCATCCATCCATCCATCGATCGATCCTTCGATCGATCGATCGATCGATCTACCTATGTATCTATCTATCTATCTATCTATCTATCTATCTATCTATATCGATACATATGCCCCTCCCAATTTTAGAGCCTGCGCAGCGAACGCTTCAAAGAGTTCCTCGGAGGTCGCCCCCAAGCATCGCTCAGGGCTTCTTCAAGGTTTAGGGTTTAGGGTTTAGGGTCCCTGAACCCTAAACCCTAAACCCTAAACCCTAAACCCTAAACCCATACTAAAGTACGGTTCAGGGTTTAGGGTTTAGGGCCCACCGCGCCCGGGGCGAGGCTGGATTCGAAGAAGGCTTTCTGGCACTACGCGAAGACCTGGGGACTGCTTTCTTCGCTGCAGACAGCCGGGTTTCAGCTTTTCCTTCAGGGTTTAGGGTTTAGGGTTTAGGGTTTAGATTCTTTTCACGTGTTTTTTCTTGGGTTGTGTAGCGGTTTTGGTGGGCACTGAAGGTTGTTTTCAGGTGCGTGGGGTGTTTTATGAAGGTCTTTCAAGGCATTGAACGGCGGCGTGGTAGAGTTTCGGAGTTCAGGGCGAAGGGTTTAGAGTTTAGGAGTTTAGGGTCTAGAGTCTACGGTTTCGGGTTTCGGGGCTTTATTGAGTTCACAATATCAACAAGTGTGTCTAGGAGACGAACTACTTCATAATCCTTACCCAACCCTTTTGCAGACGCATTTTGCTGGTTTCTAACTTACATTTTCTATGTTTTTACTTACACAGAAGCCTTTGCGAATCCTTGCCCCAGACACTTTGCTTTGCCGACTCCTCAAGCCCAGGGTTCTCATCATTGGGACTCGCCGTGGAGCCCGTCCCTGCCCGGTCCCTATTGATGCCCTATTCACAACTAGACAATCCTTCAACCTCGAGGCTACAATGCTGCCGCCACAGACACACCGTTTTTAAACCATGTGGCTGTACAAGTCGTAAGTCTCAACAATCCTAAACCCTAAACCCAGGTCCGAGAGTGAGTGCTGAAACACCTAAACCCTCACAAGCAGCACGAGTAGCAATAGTAAGCACCGATCCCTGCGATGGCAAGCCCTTAACTAAAACTGAAACTCCTGAGCCCCAAACCCTGAAACTCTAAGCTCCGAAAGCCTGAGCCGCTAAGCCTTAAAAAAAAACACTTACTATAGGGGCCTTAATAATGAGAATAGGGTTTTGTGGTATATCATACTACAATTACAATAAAGGAGCCCCCCCAAAACAGTATTGGTAGTTATTTAGGCCCCTACATTAACCCCCCTGTCACTGAAGTCAGAGGATGAGAGAGCTTTTTCTGTTTGTTCCGAAGGTTCGACCTCGTCTTGGTTGCCATCGGATGGCTGTTCATCGCGCTGGACATGAGCTTCGGATAAGCTCTTGCGATGGGTCTCTTAGGACTTAGAGTTTAGGGCTCAGGGTTCAGGGGCCAGGGCTTGCGACTTTGCTGTAGACTGTAGAGTTCAGGGGTTTCTCAGGGGCTAAGAGGTCAGGGTTGAAGGGCATAGGGTGTTTGGATGGTGGAGGTGAGGCGATGTGTAAAGGTGTAAAGGTTAGGCCCCTTGGCTCTTTCATTTGAGAGCAGTGCGGCTTCACGCTTATGTATATGTTTTTATACATATATATATACAGATGCGCACACACACACACACATATATATATATATATGTATATATGTGTATATACATACACACACACACACACATATATATATATATATATATATGTATATATATATATATATGTGTATATATATACACATGCATAGGTAGGTAGATGATGCAAGTGCACACACACACACACATATATATATATATATATATTTATACGTGCACACTTACAAGGAATAAAAAGTAGGTAAGTAACTACAAATGGACACCTGCACCAAGCAGAAGAAACCCACCTACCTTCGACCATCACGCACACCGGAAGCAAGTGTAAGGCAGGTGAGGAGCCCGAGTCGGATTGAGCAGCTGGCAATGACATGGACAGGCGGCTGCAGCCACTACTGTGTAATATAGGGCCTAAATATTTACCTATGTTATTTCTTGAAGGGTTCGTTATTATGGTTAAACTATACAGGAGCCCAACACCCTATCGTAATTAGTAAGGCTCCGGCACTAAGCAGTGAAAGCTGCTTGAGTACCACAGGCAAACGAGACCCCAGTAGATCTAGGAGTCCAGCACCTTAAACCCGACCCTCTGCACCGCAGCCGAGGAACGAAACCGACGAAACCCAGACGGTGGCTGGGCTAACGCATGGAGCAAGGCTTCAGAGATCGTAGTTGTCCAGGCCCGACTTGGAAGTTGGTTCCGTCGATCCAGGCATTGGGCATTGGGGCTTGTGTGGCTCAATGCATTGAGCGTTCAAGCATGAGCAAATAGGACCCTTTGAAGGCTCCTCACGGTCCTCCTCCTCCTCCTCTTTTGCCTGGGCCTTCTCGTCCAACAGCTGCTATCTTTACTCCTCTTCCTCCTTCTCTTTGCTAGTGCTTCTGCTACGGCTTCTTGTCTGCCGGTTTTGCTACAATTGCCACGACGACGGCTACTACAGCTACGATTACTACGACTGCGACTGCCAGTCCAACGACGACTGCGACGACGATGTCGACCACCACAGCGTTCTGGTAGTACTATGAAAAGGACCATGTACCCTGTCTCTCCGATCCCCCGAGGCCTGTGCCCAACCCTGGACCCGAAACCCTCCCCCAAGCCGCGCTAGACATCTTATGAGGCCCTGACAAAACTCCAACCCAAAACCCAAACCCCTAAACCCCTAAACCCTAAACCCCCGAAGGCGCAAACCCAAAAACCCCAAACCCGGGAACGCACCAGAAGCCTTGTGCCTAGGATCTCATCGCCTGGTCGCGGACGTTGAGAGCGCTCCGGTTCCTGCGATTTGTGCGGGTTCTGCGGTGGTGCCTGGGCCGCACTTGACAAAACTTGCCACGATGACGGGGTTTAAGGGTTTAGGGTTTAGGTTTTAGGCGGCGTCTGCTTAAACTCTTTACGCCAGTGTCTGTGCCAATGCCTGTGATTACGACAGCCACGTTAACGAGAAGTGTTGTACCTATGCGCTCTGTTTGTTTGCGTGCAGATTCATGGTGACATAGCTGTCGTGGAAGACAGTTCCTGTGCTTTGGTTTCAGCTCACCTTCAGTTTTAACCCGTGAACTTTGCCGCAATGGACCTGGAGACTGACGAGCAGAGTGTGGAGGACACGGAGAGTGACGAGCAGCCGCAGCTGGAGGAATTCCTCGCCGAGCGCATCTCTCAACTGCTGCCTACATCGCCTGACATCGTTCGGGCCACGCCGGCCCATCAAGCCCTACGCCGATGCGGTACGGCCCTCCGCGGCGGGGGGCAAGATTCCTACCACCGGAGTTTTAAAGTCGCCAGGATAAGCTCTTTCTGGAGCCACAGCTGGCATGGAAGCCACTGGCGCAAGGTCATGACGGCTCTCTGGGTGTACAACTCAGTTCCGGCCACCTACGTTGCGACACTCGGGGCTGTTCTGGCTTCCGTACTCTACGGCTTGAAGGTGCTTCCTGGTATGAGCTACTGGGAGAGCTACGAATACCCTCGAAGCTATTGGGCGTCTTCTGTGGGCCTCGGCCTCTACTGCCTGACGAATCTCTTTTGGCAGCCTCGTCAGCACATCTTCTTGGACGTGCTTTGCATCGACCAGATTGATCCAACGCGCAAGGCCGCCGGGATTTTCAGTATGGGGGCTTTCCTGAAGTGCTCGGACTCGATGCTCGTTCTTTGGGACCCGACTTACACGCATCGACTCTGGTGCATCTACGAACTCTCGGCCTACCTCTACAGCCGCCCGGAGGGTGCCAAGACGACCCTGCTACATGCTCCTGACCCTGGCTCTTTGTTGCTTCACCCTTGCTGTGGCCAGCATTCCAGAGCGTAATGAAGCTCTGCTGTGGGTCACGCAGGCGGTGATTTTGGCCGTTGGGTTTTATCCGAATGTGGCTGCCTACCTACCGGCGGTATTTCCGCGGCCTGAGCGACCTAAAGTCGGAGTTGGAACACTTTTCGTTGCAGGGCACCCACTGCATGTGTTGCCAGCGAGGCCATGTCTCTGCGGACGGAGAGCCCATGGCTTGCGACCGGAAAGTGGTCCTCCATTGCCTCAAGTTGTGGTTCGGTAGTGCAGAAAGATTCGAGCAGCGAGTGCGTTCGGAGGTTTCTGAAACCCTCATGCACGAGCTGTCCGCCGAGTTCTTCAACTATAGGCACTGCCTTGCAGCTCTCATACCCGTCGCCTGGTCTTACATGGACACAGCATCAGCGGAGTGGCGGAAGTATGACGAGCCGGGGCATCTTGCGACGGAGGTCACCAAGGAGCTTGCGAGGGGCTTTGCATGGTGGCTGTGTGTGGCACCGTCCATCTTGCTCATGACTTTCAGACTTGCATACTGCTTGCGGGCGAAGCGTTCCAGCCTGTGGTGTGATTGGGCAGTCAACATCCTCATCCTGCTGTGCGTAGTGGCCTTCTTCGTGGCTGCAGTGCAGTTGGAGTTCGCGTGCATGATCTTCCACAACCACTTCGTCCCTCGTGACTCAGTGTGGAGAGGTATGCACACCGCCATGCTGCTCTTTGTCGCCCTTTGCCTTCCCATGGCCATCCTCCTCTTCAATTGCGTGGGGCTTCAACCTCCGATAAGCACCAAGAAAACAGCCGCAGCCGGGACTGCCGAAGACGCAGCAATCACGGAGTCCAATCCCCGAGACGGCCATGTCCGCCAAATCCAATCGCTCTGAAGGAGCTCAGATGGTTAAAGGATTTTCGGAGGCCCTCGGCAGCCGTCAACCATGCACCCGAAGTATCATAGCCATTGCAAAAATCATAGCTATTCTGGCTGTTTTATTACTATCTTAGACTATTTTTGCTGTTAATATTCTAGCTATTATGCATATTTTAAGACGATGCTATTCCTGCGGGTTCTTTGTAGTGATTGTACTACATTATGATTATGCACCCAAACCCTATTCCAACTACCACGCCCCTATACTACACGATGTTGATGCGGTCTTTGGCCCAGACTTTTTCTTCCCCGACGGCCAAGCCGCGGGAGATTCTCTGCGTGAATTGATTTGGTCCTCGCGCAGAGCTCTGGGTTCCTGTTTTGGGGTTTAGACTCTTTAGGTTTTTGGGGGCTTGGATTTTCGGGATTTCGGCTCTAGGTTGGTTGGTTGGGTGGTTGGGTGGGTGGGTTGGTTTAGGGTCCATATTGAGTTGTGTGCTTAGCTGTACCGAGTTTTTGCATGCCGTGGCTCGTTGCAGTCTTCAACATGATCTGGAACTAGTCTTAATCCTGTACCCCTATAACTTTTGCTTGAGCGAGGTCTTTGAGGCCTATCAGTCATTGAAGACCTGCGTGCTCCCATCAAAGTTTCACCAGTACGGAACTTCACTGTTCTGATGACCGTCGCCTAGTTTTCTACAGTTCACGTAGTTTCAACATCATCCTGTGGAACGTGCGAAAGTGGCGCCTTCGTATGTTGGGTCCCTTTTCACTGATCTCAGTTCTAGTAGCAGCCACATATTCCAATGGCCCATTTTTGGTCATAGCACCGAAGCTTGGCAATCATCCGTCTTTGCAGCTATACTCTCGTACTGCCTTATGTGCTTTCTTACCTTGTGGTGTCGCGGTGATTGCCATCTCGGTATTCAATTCTGGCGTAGTTGGACAAAAAGAGCTCGTCTGGTGCAGTCCGAGTTGCGAGAAAGCCCTACACCCCCCCCCAGCCCTAAAGTCCTCTAGGAAATGTTGGTGTCGCTATTCATCAGTGTCCCTTGTCAAAAACATGCCAGAACATACCCCAAACTCAGTCTATTCCTTCTTTAGGACGCTAAGCCCTTATAGAACCCCTACAGTAACCCCTTTAAAGGAACGCCTAAGCCTGAACCCCAAGCCTTTGTAGAACCCTTACAGTAACCGGTTGAAAGGAACACCCTAGCCGGAACCCTAAAACCTGTCTAGAAACCCTAAACCCTAAACCGTAACCCTAAACCCTAAACCCTAAAACCCTAAACCCTAAACCCTTCTGGAACCGTTGTGGATCCCATTCGAGGAACCCTCACCGGCTCCCTTAGAGGGGTCCCCTCTTTTATCGGGGCCAAAGCTATGCTATCTTCGGGGGTTCCTTGCTATTTATAGTACAGCATACCCCAAGACCTTTACTACGGCGCCTACATGATTGATGAGGGTCCTTTATCAATCAGGTCCCCAAAAAAGTACGGCACCCTTCTAAAAAGGACCCTAAAGGAAACCGCAACTTAGAGTACCCAATTCTTAAGGCTCCACTAACCCTAAACCCTAAACCCTAGACCCTAAACCCTGAACCCTAAACCCTAAACCCTAAACCCTAAACCCCAGACCCTAAACTGTGAGGGAAAAAGCCCTGTACTGCTTCCCAAGTCCCGCAGGCTGAAGCTGCGAGGCCGTTGGGGAAGCTCTGGGGGCCATGCTTTGGGGTGACGGGCCTTAGGATTCCGGGGGTCTACGCTAGGGTTTATTTGGGTTTAGGGTTTCGGGTTTAGGGTTTAGGGTTTAGGTACACTTCTTCTCGGTTTGTGAGCTTGGATCTGCGGGGAAGCAGCCTGTGTGTAGGGTTTTGGGGTCTCGAGAGGAAGCTGACTTCTTCGAGCACATCCTCAAGTCGTTACCAGAAGCCAAACCCCACACATCGTGTAAGCAAATGAGACCCAACACCTTTTATGAAAGTTTCACAAGCTGGAGGCGAGCCCAGTTCTACGTAGAGGGATCCTTACCTTAGATAAGGTAACAGTAAGCCTTAGAATCTTAGAATCAAAACTGATTGCATTCCTGGGCTTCCTACTCCAGGAAACTAGGATCCACTTGATTCGATGCGCGGCTGGGTTTGGAAAGCTCTCGCAGTTTGCTTCAGGGAACTGCTGAGCCATGCGCCCGTTCCTACTCCTACTTAGCCCACACTCCCACAAATAGAGCTCTAGAAAGCCACCTTGATAACACTAATTTAGCCCCGCACCGCTAAAGCTTTCAGAGACCTAAATTTTTGACTAAACTTTTCGCCGACATTGGAAGAAGCATCGTGGACCAAATTCTTTGGACACACTTCGGAAGGCCCGAAAAAAACCCTAAACCCTAAACCCTAAACCCTAAACCCTAAACCCTAAACCCTAAACCAACAAAGCCCTAAATCCGTCCTCCGGCCGTCAGGGGTCGCTGAGGCGTTCCAGGAGCTCTTCCACTCGAATTCTGCGCAACTGGGAGAAGTTACGGTTTAGGGTTTTAGGGTTTAGGGGCTTAGGGGTTTAGGGTTTAGGGTTTAGGGTTTAGGGTTTAGGGTTTAGGGGCTTAGGGTTTAGGGTTGTTGGTTTTGATTTAGGTTTGAGTTTGGCGGCGCTAATTCCCAGACAATAATCTGGACGTGCTGATTGGCAGAGTCTGGGTTCAAAAAAGGATTGTTGGTTGTAGGGCTTAGGGTTTAGGGTTATGTCGGCGAGACAAGCTAGTGCTGGTGTGGTTTCTGCATCTATAAAATGAAAATAAACGTGAACTAAAAGTCATCGACCCTAAAAAACGTGAAAAGCAACGTAAAAAGAACGTAAAATAAGCGTGAACAAAACGTGTAAAAAACGCGTGAAACACAACCTGAAAACAACTTGAAATAAATTTGAAATAAACATGAAATAAACATGAAAAAAACTTGAAATAAATTTGAAAAAGACGTGAAATAAATTTAAAGGGAACGTATAACGTAGAACA